ATTGACATCTCCCAACGCAATAAGCAAATGGAAAAGAAGAAAAAAAAACTTTGGTTTGAAAGAATCTCCAGTAAAAGAAGCAGGGGAAAAAAAAAAAAAAAAAAAAAAAAAAAAAAACAAGAAACCCCGTTCTACAGAAAAAAAAAAGACTCCTTCAAAGAATCTCTTTTGTTCTGTTTTTTTTTTTTTCTTTTTTTTCATTATTTCACCAAAATAACGAAACACCTTCTCTTGCTGTACAAGATTTTTGCCTTTATTTTGTTTCTTATTTTTTTTTTTTTCATTCTTCTCCTTTTCAAGTACTGAACCAGAAGCGCACTGATATACGCAAAGAAAAAAAAAAAAAAAATACATTCAAAACATTTTCAATCAACACATGTAAAGGGTCTAAAATATGTTTCACATATATAAGGGAGGAGCAGGTATCACGTATCAGAAGCAGGACTCCGTCAGTACCACAACGTCCTTGCCATTTAAAGAGAGAGGATTCTTCAAATCCATTACTGGGGGTCTACCAGACACACGAGTAAGGGCAAATAACTCTACCATACTTCTTCCCTTTTAACGCAGCCCTCTAGTTACACAACACCTTTTTTTTTCTTTTCCTCCCTCTCTCTCCCTCGGAGCACACACATATATATATATATATATATATATATATATATATATATCTGTGTGTGTGTATGTGTTAACGTATATCTGTACACATGTATTGAAGAAGAACAAAGCGGAATGAATCCATTAATCAAGGGTTAACTTCTCCATAGGTATCTCTTGAGTGGTTTTCAACCAATGAATGAGATTTTTAACTTTACTTTTTTTTTTTTTTATTATTTCCTCATTTCTTGTTTTATTATTATTATTATTTTTTTTTTTTTGTTGCACCATTAAGACTCTACCTCTCTCACTGCTGATTACGCAGAACAAAAATAAATAAGGTACCATATAAACAACACTTGCGCGGTCAGAAACACCAACACATAAATACGAACGCAATAACAACGGCAGTGAAAGTAGTAGTGTACTTTGGTGCTTTATTTGGCCCTAATATATCCATAAAACTGATGGCATTGCCGTTATCAGCTTTATCATCACGCATTATTACTACAAATAATAATAATAATAATATTAAAGAAGGAAATGCAATTTTCGCTTGCAATCACTTTGTAAAAATAAGCTTCCCCCTCTCTCCATAAATATATGTATATATATATATCCTCAAGAGTAAAGCAATTTGCGAGCTAAGCACCAATTTCCCCCAATATTAGAGGACAGGTACGCCCTTTTCTTAACTCTCTATATAAATCCATCAGCAGTCACTCTATTCACTTCTTCTGCAGCGGATCTCCATCCTTACTGCTCTCCTTTGCAGCATTAGTGTCTGTGGTATCTGTTGCTTTTGGTGAACTCACATCGGTAGTGGACTCCAACTCCTCCATTTGACATTTCTGGCGTAGACGTGTATACCAGTCCTGACTGCCAACTCCAGCCTCACTGCCAATAGCCACCCAACCACTACTATTACCACCACCATTACCGCTTTCACCATTATTAATACTATGAGCAACAGAATCAGAACTATTAATCTTATTAACTAGACGAGTCTCACGTTCCTTACTTTTAAAGGTCTGAAGAATCTCGCCTGCACTATTGGTCGGCCAATATATCCTTTCACGTTGATTACTACAATTAGGTGATCTAGCGTTGGGAGAAGGACTATGTTCTACACTATGAACGACACGTCGCTGGTACATTTTGTTTCCCCGTTCAATAGAATCTAAAGCACACTCTTCAACAACTCCAGAATCCATAGATGTTTCCATCAACTCAAGAAGTGGTGTAACCCCACCCTCTAAAAGAGGGGTATCTCTAGACCTCAAATAACTATTGTTGACAGGACAAGATCTTGAAGATGAAAGATTTAAGTTTTGTAGAATAATTTTTGGTTTTTTCCCAGGAGATGAATCAACAAGCTCTCTTCTTCCATGGTGTGAAGGAGTATGCGGATAAGTCACAGAACCACCTGACCCAAGTAAAGGATTAGTAGATTTTAATGGTGCGATATCAGATCCACTACGATTACACTGTAATCCCGGAGATAATACAGATGCTCCACAATTGTGCATAGATGACAAAAATGACCGATTTACATGCTTACGTAAAACTGCCTTAGCATTTTCCAGTGTTCTCGCATTATTTCTATCATGTTGCAGACTAGGATTACCACGAGAACTATCTAGTAATGGGTTATCAGCCATTGAATCTACGTTACTACGTCCGTCGGAAGCCAACGATTTGGACTTTCGCCTTGCATCAATAAAATGAGTACTAGTTCCAGAAGAGTATAAGACACGAGGTAATAATGTCTTTTGATCTTCTTGTTGATCTTCCTGCCTATGATTAATTTTCATTCTCATCGAAGTATCATGTGCAGGCCCATATTTTTCTGGACATGAGATACCATTAATTGGGGAAGAAGATCCCTCTTTATATGGATGCTTTGAGAGTTCATACGACTTTAAATATTGGTGTGTATCATCATCGTTACCTCTCTTTAGAACTGCATCCCGACTCTTTTCTCTTTTTTGGCTACCATTGTTTTTTACTTCATCCACGTTCACAAAGGTCGGTAGGTTCACTACAAACACATTTTGAGACCCACCTCCAAAATCTTCCATGTATTCCGCCGTAGCTTCTACAGTAGACTCTTCTTCTGTTTTAGTTATAGTGGGTGAGAGGAGATTACTATTTCTTCTATAATCATAGTCTTTTGGGGGTTGAAGCATATGTTGTCTGTGGAGAAGAAACTTCTGTTCTCGTCCTTGTGCAGCCGTCCTTTGCGGAGTATTTTGCGTATTTGAGATATCTTCCTTTGAGAGTGATGATGCCCCTTTGCTACTACTACTGTGGCTGTCACTTTGCCTCCGAGAGGCGCTGAGCGTAGTTCCCATTTTTTTTTTTTT